GTGCTGGCGATCAAACTGCAATCCCTAAGCTTGCCTAAGCAGGCGCTTTAGACTGATGAACTATATCGCTGGCCCTCTCTCAGGTGCTTTTGAGAGTCAAACTACTCTGGGACACTTGGAAGATTCTTTCCCTTGATGCACAAGTCGCTGTGTTGGCAAAGTGGGAAACATCAGTACCAGCCCTCCCTGTCCTATACACGATAGGCAGGCTTTGCATTAAACTTCTATTAGCTTGCAACAGTCACCTGGGTAAGAGTCGTAGTCCTTCAACCCCCATGACCCACCTGTTTGGGATTTTTGACTGCTTGGGAATGGTTTATCTGGGGTGCTGCTCAAGCCAACTATCCCTGTCTTGAGATTTCTGAAGCTCTTATTTTTCTGCCCAATATCATGGTGGAGAGGGGGCTGGTTTGGGCTGTAGGAATGAACTGAAAAGTCTGCTCTTAACCAAAAGTTACCTGTGAAAATCAATTTCTGGTCATGTTTAGTTCTTTTGTCACCATCTTCTGCTAGTCTCGATGTAGTCCCATTGTTTCTAGAGAAGGCTCTTTTCTCTTAAGCATCATTTTTGTGAAAGTATTTTTATTGATGAATACTAAATCTTAGAGGTTTTAGAATTGTCCACTTAAAGACCTAATTATTAAATATGTGTACTTTTCATTTGTTAATGCTATAAAGATAAAAATGGGGGGTTATTGAAATTATTATTTTTCCAATGAAAGTATATTTTCTGCTAGAAATTGACCAAGGGGCATCATTTTCTTCTAGCATGCTAAGTGCATTTGTGCAGGTTTGCCTAAAATCTTTTCTGTACAAATCATTTTGCTGAGTCTTTGGTTGGATAGGGACAGTTCCTAAAAATATGGTTCTTAAAGTTCTACAGTATGAACTCTACCCCTCTTTCTGTCAGAATCTCTTCTATAAAAAGCTGGTGTTCCAAAACAAAAAAAAAAAAAAAAAAAAAAAAGCTGGTGTTCCACCAGTCTCACTCAGCTTGAGTGGTGGTACCAAAGAGCTTTAATGGTCATCTGTCTGGCTTTGGTTTAATAAACAGTTTGATAAAACATTGCTGACCATAAAACATGTATGTGACACCTCTAGGAAGAAGAAAAACAACATAGTTTAATTCTCAATATGCACCTTTGATTTTTTTTTTTTTGAGGTACTTGGGGTTGAACTCAGGACCTTGGGCTTGTCAGGTAAGCACTTATTCTACTGAGCTAGCTTCCCAGCCCATCATTTTTAAAATAAGAATCTGAACTGAGAAAAAATGATAGTCTGCATAAACACATTTTCCCATTATCATGGGAAAATATTATTTGGTAAATTTCTTCCAACTTAAACGATAAATTCTCCAAAAGCAGAAACTGTATGAGTTCTCTGTATTCTGGGGCCTGGCATAGTGTCTGGAAAATAATAGACAACCTAGTTGTTGAATAACTAAATAAGTAATGACACAAGCAGTAGAGACACAAAAGGTTAAGTTTTTCAAAAGTCAGGTTGGAAAACAGTATATATTTTAAGACTCTGCACCGTGAAATATATATATATATATATATTGCAAGGAAATGTCACAAGATATTAGCATATAAAGAAAAAGTACTTTCGTTTCTGAGTGTCATATAGTGGAAGTACCTTCTCTTCTGGTCTTTTTGGTCTCGTGGGCTCAAGCGAGATGACAAAGGGAACGTCATCCTTTGGAAAGTGTTGTAAAAGATGCACACGTTGTTCCACCCCTGTGGCTCTAAGGCCTACCACCTTCAGAAGTCGACTTGTGACAAATGTTGCTATCCCACCAAGAGCAAAAGAAAGTATAACTGGAGGGCAAAGGCTAAAATGCAACATACCACCAGAACTGGTCGAATGAGACACCTAAAAATTGTATATCGCAGATTCAGGTGTGAATTCCATGGAGGAATGACACCTAACCCCAAGAGAGCAGCTGTTGCAACATCCAGTTCATCTTGAGAATTGCAGCAATCATTCAAAATAAGTACTATGGTTTTAAAAGAAAGAATGCTTTCATCTTTTATTTTGCTTAATAGCATACATTTTTCTGCATAGTGAGACCTTGTATCAAACAAACAGCATACATTTTTGCTATAAGTATATGTTGCTTTTATGACCTAGGAAAAGAACTTTAAAAGAAGAGGAAGCAGGGACTGGTGAGATGGCTCAGTGGTCTAAAGCACCTACTTAGAACAAGCTTTAGCAAAAACCCAGGGACCACAGTTCGATCCCCAGCACCACATGCCAGCCAGCCCCGCCCCCTGGTGGGCTGAGCTGGCCACACACACACACACACACACACACACACATAAATAAATAAAATTTAAAAAAAAAGTTACAAAAGAAGAGGAAGCAGAATGTAAGATAAAAAATAAAATATAAAGAATGTAAAATAAAGAAGTAGTTGTTACTAGGAAATGAACTCTTCTAATCCTAAAGCTTTAACTGATCAGAACTGAATTGCTTGGGAAGCCTCCTGTTAACTCTTCTGATTATTCCACTTAGGTAAATACCTACTCAGCCTACATTGGCTGCCTTCAAAGACGAAGACCCGCCCCTACTTTGTCTTTAAGTTGGAAATGGATTTGAGGCCTCAGATGCAATGCCCTCGCCCTGAAAGCTTCCATGGGACTCCTCCACTGGCTTATAGCTTAGTCTCTGCCTATATCAGGAACATGAAACAGAATAACTGTTTAGGAATTATGGGCTTTGGTCTGGCCACTAAGCACGGGCCCCTAGCACTTGCCATACATTGCCCACTCTCTCTGTCTCTTCCTCAACCTTCCCCAGGCTTCCTCTCCAACATGTCTTTCTTAATTTACCCAACCCCCAGGTCTAATCCTTCAGTCTTTAGCCACCTCCCTCAGTAGCTCCCTTCTCTCAACAGTTCACAAGAGTTAGCTTTCAGTTCTGTCCTGCCACAGAGTATGACTGATCCCAGCTTGTTTTCAGTTTGAGGGACAGGGGGTGTCATTCTCCTTATTCATCTGTATTCAGCCTAACTTTCACTGGGTTCTGAACCACCTGTAAAGGTGCCTGAGATAACATCTGTGACTGAGTTCTTGATACAGATGGATAAAGAGACAAAGTGGCCATCCTTTAACCCTACTGCTCCAGGCTAGGGAGGATGGGGTTGGGCTAAGACAGTCAGCCTCTTCCCATTAAGCTAGGCAATACATGCAGCAGCCCTTCTGTACTATTTTCCTTGGAGTTGATGATTTTCTTACAGTATGTCTAAAAGGCCAGTAAATAGCCTATAGTTTTTAATGTCATCCCATGCTCCATTCTCTAATATCTGCTTTGTTCATACTAAAAGCAATATTAACTTTCCTTTTGTTTTCACTTCTGAGAACCAAAGCTGGCATATCAGTTGTTCTTAAAAAATAAAAATAAAAACAAAAATAAAAGGCTCAACATTGGCCAAGCAATGGCCATGACTCATCCACATGGCTGACACTGACAAAGGTTCTACAATCAAAGGTATAGGATCTCAGGATAAATCCTGAGGGGATTTCACTGACCTTCTCAGACCTGAAAGCTACAACTCTTGTTGCATAGGTCCTGCTTTACATTGGTCTTAACCATCCAGTAGAAAAGTATGAAGATGAAATATAGGAAGTAAAGCCATGCTGTTATGTTGAGCTGTGGGGGACTGAGGTCAACAATTTCTGATATTGCCAGTTAAACAGAAGACCCAATGCTATTATGGGCTACTGGACTCTTGGAATATTTTGCTGAGTTTACACACCTATAATATTCAAATGATGGAACTTAGTAAAAAACGGGTATACAGATGAATGTCCATTTTGTATCTGTGTATTCAAAGTGGTTAGGATATATATATAGTTACATTCTCTTAATGAATAGAATGATTTGTTCTAATGGTGTTTGTAAATAGGATCTCAACTCCGCATCTTGTACAGCAATTAACCACTAAGAAGAATGTATGCAGTGTGTTAGTTATTGAAACTGTCCTAGAGATTTGATTTGAAACTGTCTCATTGCTATTTGTTTATCAATAAAATTATGGGAAAAAAAGAAACAATACAAAAGTTCACTAAACAAAAAAAATAATAATAATAATAAATAAGTAAAAGGCTCAGAACCAATGCAGGGGGAAAAGGCTGCTATGTCTTGACCCTTTGAGATCTAAGGAGCTGTGCTTGTTGGGTAGGGAAAGATGAACCCAGTGGAATCTGTTTTCTCTGTGTCCAAGGCTAGATCCTGGAGCTTCCTCGGGCTAGAGGATGGGTGAGACAGTTCTCCTTGGGGGCTAGGAAGGGGTCCCCACTTCAACAACATGAATACTTCGAGCAGACCTATTATAGAACCCAACAAAATGGATAAAGGAGAAATTGCAGCTATTCAGTGTTGTTTATTATCACCACTGAACTTCTAGAACCTGATTTCCCTCTACTCATGGGCCACAGTCTATTCTGTGACTCCATTAGTGAAAGGCAAACACAAGAATATGATATACAATGCAATTTATTGGGGGAAAAGATGCAACATACACATCACCAAAGGAGCCACACCTCAGGGCATTAAGAGGACAGAAGTGAGTCTTGGGACATAATGCCTAGATACAGAAAGGGGTCCCTGAGAACCAACATCCTAGGGAATCTTGATTTTTGCCCTCCACCATTGACCCCACCACACTGCCTACCCAGGTAGTACTAGGTTATGCTGGCTTTTGCCCATCAACTCCCAATGAGAGGGATGTGGGCAGAGAAAGATGTCTCAGATGGTCCTTGGGCTCCCAAGGTCAGAGGCCACTGCAGGGATGTTTCAGGGACATTATCATCTCCGACTAGTAGCTGGGCTCCCTGGTCTAGGAGAGGACTACGGATGCAGGAGCCAGGAGTTCAGCCCTTTTGCAAGGGATTTGAGAAGCGTAGTGAGCCCTGTGCACCTGTTTATGCCAAGCAGGGATTGGAAAGTGCAGCTGCAGACAGAGAGAGGCAGGTGGGCTTGGAGATTTGGCTGGAGGATCACTTGGAGCGTTGCTGGCTGGAGCTGGTGGTCTTAGAGAAGTGGACGCTGATGCTGCCTGCCTTGCCAGACTTGTAGCCACTACCTACTGAGTTCTGAGTGACATCAGCACTGAAGCCTGTTCCACTCTGGCTCACAGAGCTGTTGCCTCCACTGCCAAGTCTGCTCCCACTGCTGGGGCTCTGGTAGCCTCTGTTGTTGCCCCTGCCCACACTACCACTGCCACTGCTGCCTTCTCCATTGCTGCTGCCTCTGGAGCCACCGCTGCTGCCATTGCTGCTATTGCCATTGATGCCTCTGAAGCCTCCATGGCTGCTGCCAGAGCTACTGCTCGTGCAGGTGACATTGTTTACCAAAGCTGCAGAAGATCAGACAGTGCATTCAGAGAAAGGCCTGGGAGCAGGAAGCCCTCCCTGCTCAGGCTCAGCTGCATAACCTAAAGCTTCTCTACAGCCTTGATTTACACATCAGAAGAGTGACCCCAGCTCTCTGGTGTCCTTACCAAAGAACAGGAACCGGATGTACCCACAGAAATTTCTGGTTCTTCAACCTAGGGCATACCACAAAACCACATGGGCTTGAGTTTTGGCCCTTGACACTGCCCCTTACACAAAGGACAGACTATGGCCATCCCAGGGAGCCTAGCTGCCTTCCTGTGGCCTCTTAGGATGAGTCAAGCCCTCTTTTTGAGCATCAGACATTTTCAATTGCCCATTATACAACCCAATGAGAAGATTTTTAATGTGCTACTTACAAATGCTCACCGCATTCTGACACTCTCCAGACATCCTGAGAAAAACAGGTGGAAATATGAATTATCTTTATATGAAATCAATAGCCAAACAGTTGAGGGTCTGTAATTTGGGAGCTACATTTTCCCATGTATTCTACTAGGTGTTAGGCTCCTGGGAGAAGCAAGACTATTCCAACAGTTTGTCTCCCTTAAAAAAGGAGGCTGACCTACATCTAAGACATCTGGTAGCCCTCCAACTGTACTCCATCTCTGAATCTCTCCCCCTCTTTCCCTTAGCCTTAAAAACCTGCTCCAAAAAAAACCTACCCACTCCTACTTAATTATCCCATCCTCACCTCTCACCCCTGCTGAGATAGTTTCTCATCCTAGAACAGTCTTCTCAGTTTCTCTGAGATTTTTAGTCCAATTTTCCTTTTCAAGAAGCCTTCCCAGGGAACCCTCGCAGAAAGATGCAATGGTAATGACGGTTGTTGTTCAAGGTGGAGAAAATATGAGAGGGGCTGACACTCAACACATGATGAATTTGAAAGTGTCCCACTTGCCCTGGTCATCATCCTGGGGTTTGGTGTGGTTCATAGAGCAGGCCTACCATATGTCTCATTAGACATGACTTGTGCCATATCCATGGCATGGACTGTACATGTGTATCAACCACTTGCCCATATGGACCCAGCTTCTGGGATGAGGGGTTACTGCACCGTCCACACTGAACTTTCCAGTGTGATAGCCACTAACCACATGAAGCCACATAAATTCAATGTCAGATTCAGCCCCTCCATTACACTGGTTGCATTTCAAATACTGAAGTGGCTAATAGCAACTGTACTGCACAGCATAGGTGTAGAACATTTTCATCATTCCAGAAAGTTCAGTGAACATCTTTGATCTATAACTCTTATTACAACTCCAAAGAACTTTTCCTAGCACACTGTATATAGCAGGCATCAATAGAAATATGTAATTCAACATTGATGTCCACGATCAATTGGAGAATGATACTGACTGATAAAAACCAGTAGGTTTAAATCTTTAACTCTGTCATTCAGAAGACTCTTTACCCTTTGTCTGAATGATATCTTCTATCATCTTGACCCTTTCCTCATTTATGTGGGAGTTTTTTGAGGCAAGATCTTGGGGCCGGGGAGATGGTTCAGTAGGATAAGCGCTTGACTGGCAAACGCAAGGATCTGAGTTCAATACCCGGTTCCGCCAAAAAAAAAAAAAAAAAAATCTCATTGTGTAGTTCAGACTGGCCTTAAACTCACTATGTAACCCAGGCTGGCTACAAACTCAAAGTAATTGTCCTGCTTCAGCCTCGCAAACTGTGAGATTACAGACATACACCATCACATCCAGCCCTCTTTTATTAATTATTGAAGATCATTCTAAAATTATATCTGAATGATGCTGACTTGACAGCCCCTCACCTGCACTCCTCGCCCTCCAGCAGCTTGCGGTAGGTGGCGATCTCCACGTCCAGGGCCAGCTTGATGTTCATCAGCTCCTGATAGTCACGTAACAACCGGGCCAGACCATCCTTGGCCTGCTGTAGTGCAGCCTTCAAGTCTTGGAGCTTGGCATTGGCATCGTTGAGGGCCGTCTCCCCACGCTGCTCTGCTTCTTCAATGGATGACTGCAGGTTGGCATTCTGGGATAAAGGGTACAAAGATTATTAGCATAGTGACTAGGAAATAGGAAACACCTAATTGTTCCTGTGAGCTCTCTTACCCTCATCTAGCAAGCCTCCTTCCCCTTCCTTAGACGCCCCAATGGAACATGCTCAGAATACAAGTCAATGCTGTAATTGCTTACTTAATCCTTGGCCCATTGAAATTAACTCATGACTCAGCAGGAAAGGAGCATAGATTGGCTTTCCTAGGCTAGCAAAGGTAGTAATGAACTGGTTAGTCACTGATCTTTTTTGCAAGACGTTAGACTCCCTCAGCTAATTACTAAATTCCAGTGATTTAAAAAAGAAGCCATCAAGATTATGTGAAGAGCATAAGTAGCTCTGCTGAGGGCAGATCCTACAGAACTGCATAGGGACACTAACACTGAAACTGTAAAATTTGCTAGGCAAACTAGATTGGGCAATCATCTTTCCTTAGGGTGCATCCCAAGAAGTCTAGTCTCTTAATGAACATCTGGAAGAACAGAGGCTCCCAGAGACTGTGCTAGTCCCCAGTATCATGAAAGCATGTGACAGAGGAGTCCAACTGGTACTTCTCTTTCTCCCCAGGGGTCAGAAGACCTCCAGGATTAATCCTAGACCCACCTGCTTCTTGACATTCTCAATCTCTGCCTGCAGCCTCTGAATCATCCTGTTGAGCTCCATGATCTCACTCCTGGTGCTCTTCAGGTCATCACCATGTCTGCCGGCTGTGGTTTGCAACTCTCCAAGCTGATAAAGAGAAAACAATCAAGGTGGCTTTGCATAGCACTGGCCCATTCTGGATGAAGGTCATCAGGACCTACAAGTAGAGTTTGGGGGAGAGGAGAGTTCCCACCTTAGTCTGGTACAGTGCCTCAGCCTCAGCCTTGCTTCTCTGAGCAATCTCCTCATACTGGACACGGACCTCAGCAATGATGCTGTCCAGGTCCAGGTCTCGGTTGTTGTCCATGGACAACACAACAGACGTGTCACTGACATCTCTTTGCATCTGGGACAGCTCCTGCAAAGAATATGGATGGTCACTGGCCCCAGAGGATGCTGGGAATCTTCTCCTAGTTTGAAAGATGAAGTTAAAGAATAAGATAGAAAAATGCACTTACATTTCAGGCCAAGGAAAGAATGCAAAGCAATAAGGCTAAAAGAAAAAGGAAGTATACAAATATAATCTAATTTGTGGCCTAAAAGTATAATCTAGTATACCCTGCTGTATAGGTCTCAAGGGGACCACAGTAGGGAGGGATATTATGAAGAAGCTGAACTACGAGCCATAGATGAAAATACAGAGCAAAATAGACTGAGATCAAGAGGGACCCTGGTCCAGAGATGAGGAATACACAGGTTAGGGGAGCTAAATTAACATGTCCTGGGTGGAGCAGAGCTGAGTTCTGTATTCTGTTCTACTGTCCTGTTGCTCAACCATCTCCTAAAGTTATACTTGAGTGGCTGGGGAGATGGCTCAGTAGAATAAGTGCTTCCCTGGCAAGCGCAAGAGCCTGAGTTCAATCCCCGGTTCTGCCCAAAAAAAAAAAAAGAACTAAAGTTATACTTGAGAGACATTTTGGGAAGATGCCAGTGGGCACTCTGGAGCTTAGGAAACCAAGGAATCACCATGTCATAGAGGGTCCTCAGGAAGTTGACTTCATCTGCCAGGCTGTCCACTTTAGCTTGCAGCTCCACCTTGGTCATGTAAGTGGCATCCACATCCTGAAAGAGAGGTCAGGAACTGGGACAATGAGCCCCTCCCACAGCTCTTTCACAGCCCTGGACTCTCCTATCTGTTCCTCCCCCAGCCCTTCTAAGTGTCACTTCTCACCTGACCTTTCTAGAGAAAGAAAAATCAAAGTGGTTTCCTTCCTTTCAAAAACTTTGGCCAATCAAACCTGTTCCATAGCAAAATATAAACTTTTATCAGCCAGACGGAGAGTAACCATGTGGTTTTAGGGTAGAAAACATGTACTATGTGTATGTGACTTGGTTATGGAGTACAAAAAGCTCAACCTACTGAATACAAATGAGGATATTTTCGCTACTTTATGATGATATTGGTTTAAATAAGCAACAATTAATTACAGTTATAACTATAGTTATAAATAATACTCAGAATACATGCTGAAGATCTTGATTGATGCTACACATAAAATATGCATGATTAGTTCACATTCCTAATTAGTTCATTAGTCACAGTAGAGTTCTAAGATATCTTCCCCACCAGCCATGTACACAGCAGCTTCCTTCATCAAATATTTCCAAAAATGTAAGGAAAACATCAGCCACATCTACAGCATAGGACCAGAGGCTCTGCTCCCTCCATGCAGGGGAAGGAAGCCTTGCCTGTTCTGTCTGCTCACCCACCTTCTTGAGCCCCACAAACTTGTTCTCTGCTGCAGTGCGCTTGTTGACCTCATCTTCATACCTGGAACAGAGAAGGACACACATTTGGGCAGAGACATTTCAGAATCTGCTCACCCAGAGGACCTGCTTTGTGGTGTGTGACCTTTGGGGCTCACAGGTCCTCATGCAGGGTTTAATGTTCTGCTGGCTTGAGCTTCTTCATAATTGCTTAACAAGGGTCCTGAGTTATTTTTCGTTGAGCCCTGAGAATCATGTAGCTGGTGCTTTCCAGAGTTCCCTCAGTGCTCAGGATGCTGCCCCACCCCTCCCTCCAAATGCAGTAGACAAAATGAGATATGGGCAGTCAGAAACGGGGAAGATGTCAAGAAGCCAACTGCCTGCCTGGGCTCTTAGATGGACTTCACAAAACACGATGTGTGCAAAGAGGACCACAGTAATGCTTCCACCCCTTGGATGGTTCTGCCTGTTTGTCCCACTTTCCTTAAGTACAAAGATTGCTTATCAGAACTTGGGATAAAATGAACTTGTCTCCTGAATGCATCAAGGCTGTGGGACCCCTTCCTGTTAAGGACTCTCCTACCATGAGTTTGGGTTTTATGAAGACTGGAGAACAGGAACAATTCCAGAGAACAAAGCTGTTTCTATGTGAATCTGAGTTGCCACTGGATCCCCAGAACCCAGCTTGAAACCCACCAGAGAGCCAGTGGCCATGAGCTTGTACAGTGTGGAGTTTGAAGGGGACATCCCCAGAGCAGTCACAGGACTCTGTAGGTCCTGACCCCTGGGGATTTCAGGAGTCGCCTCTCACCTTGAGAGGCCCCACTCACCCTAGAGATCACAAAGGATGAAAATTATAACTTGGGCCCTACAGAAGGAGGTTGACTGATGTGGGGATTAGACAGGACATGTTGCAAGAGCACTTCACAGTGTACAGCCCTAGCCCCTCTACCTAGTGTCCCAGGAGTTGGGCACATCCGACTCATGAGGCCTGTCCACACCTACTGATTCAGAATACTGAAGACTGGGACACAGGAATATGCGCTTCTGCCAAACTTCCAAGGAGACTCCTGAGTACAGTAGAATGTGAGGGCTCCCCACCCTTATGGGCTTAACTTTGGGGAAGACTCTTTTATCCATCTGGGCTGGAGGAGGGGGCCTGATGGAGACTGAAAAATGTATAATAATGAGCCAGGTAGGAGTGTCAGTCCCCAGCCCTGTCAACCCCTTCTGCTAGGTCATACTTCACTCTAAAGCCCGTCCAAGAGTATTGGCTGAAGGCACAATCAGGAATAGTTGAAATCTCGAATTAACACCACACACCCCCACTAATCCTCCAGGAAGGGAAATGCCCCCATTGGATCCCTTACTTCTTTTTGAAGTCTTCCACCAGGTCCTGCGTGTTCTTGAGCTCTCCCTCCAGATTCCCTCTGTCCTCCAGAAGAGAGTCTAGCTGCTTGTGCAGGAAGCTGATGTAAGAGTCAAAGAAAGGTTCCAGGCTGCGGGGGGCAGAGCCAGAGCCTGCAGTCTGCTGCTGGAGCAGCGCCCACTTGGTCTCCAGAACCTTGTTCTGCTGTTCCAGGAAGCGCACCTGTGTGGGGGGAGAAAGAAATGGAGCTCCCTGAGCTGGGCAGGCAGTGCACCTGTCCCAGAAAGTGGAAACATGGAGAACGAGCCCTGTTCTTCAAACCACAAGCACCTCTATGTTGTGGGATTTGGGAAGGAGGAGGATGAGAAAAAGAGAAAGCTATATTCTGTTGAGTTTTTATTGCTTGCTATTTCCCATGTTCTGTCTCATTTACTCCTACAACCACCTGTACAAGGGGTGGTATAAGCCCCATTTTACAGATTAGGAAACAAACTCAGGGAGCTCATACTGCCAAAATTGGCATAAGGACTAAGGGACACAACTGAGAGCTAACCTAGGCCTGATCTGGGTCTTTTGAAACCCTTCAGAACACAGGTAAAAGAAGTTATCATGAAGTTAATTTTAATTTTCTTTTAGATGTAAGCTTCTTTCACCTCCATGAAAGTGGTAAAATAGTTCACAAGGTCTGACTTTTCCTTAGATGTTTCACACAAGACCTCTTTCCATATACTCAGCTTGCAGCTAACCGAGGTCCACTTCACTCCTGGTTCACTCACTCCCCTGAGCACACACATGCTTCTCGGCCCTAGCATGGACCACTCAGTATAACATGGGTGAAGCACAGTGTCACTCAGGAGGTAAGCCATCTGCCAAGGAATATCACGGAGGGGCAGCCTGGGATTTGAGATTTGTATGGACACAAGATTGATTACCAGCTATTTTGGGATAGCAAGAAATTGCATCTCAACAAGAAATGAAAGTGAACTCTACCGATTTTGTGGCTATGACCCCATTCTTCTGAGTACTAAGAGCTTGCTTGGACTCTCACCTTCTGAGTGCTAAGAGCATGTTTGCCTCATCTCATCTCTAGTGGGAAGTTAAGAACAGGAATCCTTCCCACATTTCACAGATGAAAAATAATCCAAAGGACAAAAGAAATGTGCTCATTGTTCTGAGAGGAGCAAAGCCAAGATACAGCACTCCTGCAGCCAAGCTGCCAGCCACCACTGGCCTCTTCCCTTGCCAAGCCTCTGGGTAGCCCAAGCCTCCACTACAGCTCTCGGGTTGTCCTCACCTTGTCGATGAAGGAAGCAAACTTGTTGTTCAGAGTCTTGATCTGCTCCCACTCCTGGGCCTTTACTTGCCCAATTTGTGGGTCAATCTCCACATTGAGGGGCTGAAGGAGGCTCTGGTTGACAGTCACTTCCTGGATTCCCCCAGAGAAGCAACCAGGGCCAAAACCACCAGGCCCCCCAAAACCACCAAGACCACTAAAACCACCAGCACCTCCAAAGCCACCTGCTCCACCAAAGCCATTTCCCATTCCCCTGTTACCACCAAAGCCACTCCCAAAGCCACTGCTACAGCTGCTGTGCCCTCCACCAAAGCTACCAGCCCTGGAGCCACCAGCTGCCACACTGATAGAGATGCTCTTGTTGCCACCCAGGTTATAGAGGCTGTGACTGCCAAAACCTCCTGCTCCACTCCGGAACCCAGAGGCCCCTCCACCAGACACCCTAGTTCGGGCCACACAGCTCATCCTGCTGCCTCCAGAGACCACAGAGGAGCGTCCAGAGAAGCCCTGACTCCCACAACTGAAGGACTTCTTGCAGGCTTGTCTGTTCATGGTGAGGATCTTGGACATAGGCTAATGGTCCTTTAGCAAGAGCTGAGGCTGAAGGCAGTGTAGGGCCAATAGAAGAGAGTGGCCTTTATATTCCAGAACATTTGGCTTGGCAGAAGGAAAGGCAAGCAATTATCTGAGAGTCATCTTGGGTTTGGTTTGCCTTGTAGGCAATAAGTTACTCCTTGGTTCCCAGCACACCTCAAAGATAATCCTCTGGACCAAAATGGCTTTGCTTTCTTAGCTTAATCACCCAAACATGCTTCAGTTAACAAAAGATGGAGCTCTCCTCCCTCCCTTCATGTGATTTCCTCAAGGGTCCTTGGGAACCCAAAGATCACCTGATTCAGCAAGATGAGTTGACTTTAGATCCTAGGGTTTAACAGCCACTGAGCTCCATGACACAAGTTGAGGGCCGTGGAGTCACTTGCAGATGGTCTGAGTCCTTCCCTGTGGTGCCACCAGGCCCAAGAGCTCTACCAATAGCCAACTGTCATTGTTCCTATGGCATGGCATCTGTGCCCAACTCTTCAGAGAGAATCACGAGATGAGGGGTATACTGATCCCATAGGGTCCATGCTGCCACCACTTCAGCCAAAAGGACCTCGCTAAGCAGACCTGGAAGTGAGCTGAGAAATACTGCTTATGAGAAAGAAGCTGAAGTAGAACCAATATGTCTGGTCCCTGGGGAAACTGAGGGCCTCACAAGTGTGAAATAGAATGGGCAGAAGGATACGTACGAAAGAGGAGTCTCAAGCCAAGCCCTGGGCCCACCATCCTAGACAAACAGAAGTGGTTTCTAGGTTCATAAGCAAGAAGAACCCTTCAGCTGGCAAACAGAGTCAGCTCAAGAGCTCCACTCATCTGAAGATGAGATCTGTAGGTAAGGGTCTCCTCCTTGCTCTATGTGCTCAGAGTCTATATTTCCTTACCACACCCTGGACTTTCCCTACTATGGCCCTGTTCAGGGGTCAGTGCCCCTCTAGGCCCTAAGCTCCTCAAGGGAAGAGCCTGAGTCCTACACATTCCATCTGTCCAGCTCCTACTTTCGGACAGGCACTCCACAGACATGTATTGACTAAACATAAATGTCTACGCACAGTTCCCTCCCTAGTCCTTTGAATGAAGAATAGGGACACAGATGAATTACTGCATTACTGAATTAACCTCCAGGAACTCGACTGTCCCCCATCCCCACAGCAACCCACCTCCACACCCAGCCACACCACACAAGAACAAACTCTGGTTGTCATCTATGTAGAAATCTTCAGAAGGGACTGACTTTAGATTCCCCACAGAAGAGGTGACTGCTGTGTCTTCAGAAATCCTTTCAAACTGACAGCTAGTATTTTATGCTTCTGGCATAGTTTTTGGACAAGACAATCTAGGGTAGATGATCTGTCTGAAAACTGTTCAGGACCTCAAAGCGAGTGGTCTCATTTGATGGCCTTGAGCCAGCACTTGACTTTTGCCCTTATTTGCAGAAGGAGTCATCTACCCTATGGACAGGGTTGTTTCACAATTTAAATACATACAATCCAACCATAAATGTGTAAAGTTTGGGGGGTTTTGTTTGTTTTTCAGTCCTGGATGTCAAACCCAGGGCCTTGCCCATGCAAAGCAAGCACTGTACCACTGAGCTATATCCCTGGCCCTAAATGTTTGAATTTGAAGTCAACTTATCTGTGCCCAGAGTGGATTCTATGTCAGGTTGTCTGAAATATTAACTCCCACCCAGCGTTAGATCCCAGCCCCTCCTGGTAAAGTCTTACTTATACTCTTTGGAATTCTTTAAACCCAGCTCAAGTGCCCTTGTTGGGGGAGGGATGCTGAGCCAGGCTCACCTGAAGCCCAAGGTGAGGGTCCAAAGCAAGAAAGGACAGACCTCAGCATCTTCCATTCCCTTCCCCTTCCTGGGCTCTAGCACCAAGGAAGTGGGTAGCAGCTCCCTCACTGTGGCTCATTGCTGTCCCCTGGGCATGTGCTGGAGAAGCGGGATGGAGAAAGGTGATGAGCATGGGGTTGAGTTCTCCTCATTTGTGTCACCTTAGCCTGCCAAAGCATCACTTCATTTCCTTACCTCACAAGTCAGGGTGGAGTTCTCAGCAGCTGAGGAAGCTTCGGGAAACACCCAGAGTTACCGTGGTTGGCAATGTTTCCTGTTGGCTGGAGGATCTTGCAGAGGTGTCTAAATGGGTTGCCTGCTGCCAGCAGCCTGCGCACTAATCCCTCACCTGCCAAAACATTCTGTGTGAAGACTACCAGGTGGCTGACCATTCTGGGTTCTTACTTCCCCACCCACAAAACGAGGAAAAGTGTCACCAACTAAAATTATTTCCTCCAACAAAATTGCTCTCTGGTATTCAACTGCAGTAAGAAGGCTTAAGAGTTGCCTACAGTGTAGTTGTGAGTGGAGAAATGAATCATGAACCAGTAGCCATCTCCTCAGGCCAAAGTGGAGAGATGGCTACTGTTTCCCCACCCAGACTTCCTGAGGGGAAGAGGCCGTTGCTCACTGCTCCTTTATGCGCATAGATTCACAGATCCCATACAAGATGACCACTAATTTGCTAAAAGAAAGAAAGAAAAAGGAAAGGAAAGAAAGAAATCTGGTTGTGCTACACCTAGGCTAAAACTTAATATTCTTTTTTCTTCTTAACATGTTGAAATAAAATCTATAAACAACTAAGATAACTTTACTTTGCCAGAAAATAGCAACAATACATTATCATATAGAGTAAACTCTCTTTATAGCTAAAGCTTTATAAAGAAGTAAACATCAAAGTATATGAAATCCTCTTGTTCTAAGCCTTAACTATTAACATACAAAATTTGTTCAAATTTTGCCTTCAAATAATTCAACTCACCCAAAAGTCTTTTTCTTGTTCTTAAGATCCCTTCTAGGACTTGTCTAAGCCAGACTGTTAATCCCCAAAATATCCTTGATTAAAAGATCCTATTTTTGTCAAATAAATTTTGGAAATGAAAATTTTATATCCAGTCTTGGGAATTTTTTTGCTGTGAGAATTGGACACAAAACCCTCACCTTCACCTTGAATTTGTTTCCTTGCTGGGAAACAAAGAATTCCTTGTTTTATTGGATTTTTTTTGTTGTTGTTTTTTGTTTTGTTTGTTTTGTTTATTTAGTTCAGAGTCTACAAGGTCTCACTACAAAGGTCTGACTTGTAGTGATTCTCTTGTTTTCAGCTCCCCGAGCACTGGGATTACAGGCCCACAGCCACTGCACCCAATCTCATTTGCCATCTCAGTGTGCCCTGAGAGCAGGGCTGGCACAGCAGGCCAGGGATCAAACCTCCAACCCCTGTGTCTGCCTAAGCAGGTGCTTTAATCTGTTGAGCTATCTGGCCAGTCCTTGTTTTTGTTTTGAGACAGAGTCTCACTAAATTACCCAAGAAGCTCTAATTTGTGATTGTCCTGCCTCAGACTCCTGGGAGCTGGGATTATAGGCCTGCTGACTCTTGGGATTTCAATAAAAAATCATAAGAATGTTAAGAGTCCTTAAAAGCCCTGTAGGAGGGGGGCTGGGAATATAGCTCAGCAGAATAGGGGCTTACCTGGCAAGCACAACGTCCTGAATTCAATCCCCAGTACCACAAAAAAAAAAAAAGATTCTGCAGGAGGCCCAATGTGGTGGTGTACACCTGTAATCCCAGCACTCAGGAGGCTGAGGCAAGTTTGAGGCCAGCCTGAGTTGCTACATCATGAGCCAGCCTGAACTACACGGCAAGACCCTGTCTCAAAAAAAAAAAAAATCCTATAGGAAATAATCTTCTTGTCTTTGTTTAAGCCAAGCCTCCCAGACAAACTTAACAAATCTTTCTGTCTTAACTCTACTAGCGTGCTGTTGAATATAGACACTAGTCCAGCTACCCACCCAGAACATATAAGAATGACACAGAGGCCAGAAGGGATGTGTAGGCATAGGATCAATGTGTGCCTCACCCCTGTAGAGAACTTGTGCAAGTGAAGCAGCAGGAAACTGAGAGCAGACTGTAGTCTGGCCTTGAAGAAGTAGAGAAGAACAGTGGGGCACTAGGAAGTAGGGGTACAGGTTCTCAAAGACCAACACTCATAGCCACTCTCACCAGCATGGACTGGGCTGGGTCTTTTAGGAAATCATCAGCATACTGGGTTTTCTGGAACTCGAATGGATGCCTCTTCTCCCTCTTCCCATGCAGTTGGGGGAGGAGGAAATATGGAGGTCTCGGAGGTAGACAGGCCTGTGGGTAAGTCTCAGCCTTGCTGCTCTCCAGGTGCACAACATCAGGCGAGTTTACTTTCTGACTCTAAATTTTCCATTTGGAAAACTGGAATTAGCATAGCCTCCTCACAGGGAGACAGTGGGGACTATTGGAGGTAATGTTGGAAAGCCTTCACACAGTGCAGAGGCTTGGCATGCGGAGCCCTTGGGATGATGATGTTGAGGTATGAAGACTTCCTCATAAGTAGCAATTCTGTGGCCAGAGTGGGGAGGAGTTCTGAGAGGTAGTCCAGTTTAAGATCAATGCAACATTGATGTCTTACTTTTAAAAAAATATTATTATTATTATTATTTATTCATTCATTCATTTATTTGGTAACAAAGTCTCACTACACAACTCAGATTCATAGTGATCCTCCTGTCTCAGCCTCCCCAGCACTGGGATTACAGGCATGCACCACCATGCCCAGTTTTGGGGCCAGCACAAGCACGTGGAGTTCTGGGGCCTGTGTGGCATGGTGTACCAGATAACTTCCAAGTGAAATTAAATTTCCCTTCTCAGATATTTACTTTTATCACCTATCTGTGCAAAAGTATAAAAACATTTGCCATTGATGGAGCACCCGCCGTATACAAGTCACTGGCCTAGGCTGTTGACAGCTATCATTTCTAATTGTCATAAAATTCCACAAGGTTTAATTTTCATTCAATTTTACAGCTAAGGACATGAGATTCATTAGCTTGCCCAAGTCAATTAGCTTAGTAAGAAGAGGTTTTAATC